TCGTCGAATATTGTTCGTTGCATTTACTTTCACGCCATTATCATCGTGGAAGGTATGAATCAATCTCTTCTTCCTCTATATATGGGTTAAATAGTAGAAGAAAATGAACTCTTTCACCTGGGTTGGTAACCACTCTATGGGATTTAAAATTATGAATTCAATAGAAAATGTAGCCCTGGCGAAACACATACCGTACTTTAGAAATCAACACTTAATCTTACTTATTATAAACCGCAGATTGTGTGTGTGTTGTGTGTGTGTGTTTGTGTGTGTGTGTGTGTACGTTTATATATTGGATCGGATTTCCTACATTTTTCAACCGATTTCAACAAAACTTCACAATACTGAGTAAAATTACCTTGCAGTGGTTCTGACAGTGCCCAAAATTGGAAAAAGACAATTGTTTTTGCACGAAATCAATTTGAAAACGATAAAACACAATTCTGTCGCCAGAATGAAAGGAGGACAACTCATATCGATACTTATCATAAAACCCAGGTTGTTTGTGTGTGTGTGTGTGTGTGTGTTCATTTATATATGTGATCGGATTTCCTACATTTTTCAACCGATTTCAACAAAACTTCACTTTTTTTTGGCAGGTAGTGTTCCTTATTGTCTTGCACACTTTTTTCTTTATTTTTGCATTTAAAAATTCCATTTACAGGACAATTGTTTATAATAAAATTCTATTCAATCGGTAGACTCATAACGATTGAAAACAATGTTTTTGTTTGAGTTTGCGTTTGACTAATTCGTAAAAAAAAAAAAAGAAAAAAAAAACTAATTAAGACATGCGTGTCCGTCAACCTTAAACAATAATCTTTGTCAATTTTATTTTTCAGTCTTTATGATGGTCGATACTTGATCTATCTCTTACTGTTACATCCCCGGGCAATGCCGGGCTCTCCTGCTAGTCACATATCCTTTTTATAATATTCGAGATCGTAACTAGCTTTACAATATATGATTAGCAGATATCAGTTATGTGCCATGCGTGATACACGCTTAGGCGATCATGTATCGTTCGATACATGACTGACGAGATAGATTTTTCCCCGCAATGGGTTGCCATTTTTTTCTGCGGTAGACCAGTTGCCATCCAAAACTATAGATCTCGGTTTGTCCTGCTATTTTGTGGGAAGGAGAAGAGGATGATTCATACCTTTCCCAAGGGTGTTAACACGTAAGTGAATGTAATGGATTCGACTGGAATTCGAACTCGGCTCTCCGATTTCTCAATCTGAGCCTGTATCCATTACTCCTTAGTAAATATAGTTTTATTTAATAACAGTATTTCCTACGAGTTATCTAATAGAAAATTAATGTTGAAAGATTTAAAATCTTTATAAATTATTCAATTCAATATTGTGAAAATGGAAACAAATCTTTTAAAAATCCATTTTTCATCGATTCTTTCATCAGAAAATATTTTCTTTAATATATATTATTCATAAAAGCAATTAAACGCTTCTCTAATTAATGTCTTAGTTTTATTGCGTTTTTTTATATTGTTCGATTCAGAACAGTATACTGTACTTAACATAATTGTGAGGTGGGGAGGCACAGTGAAGTAGCGGATAACGGCTCGGATTGGGTAATCGAAGAATTCCAATGCCAGTTGGATCCATTACATTCATTTATTTCTTATTCTCCCCCCACCGATGGGTAAATATCAGTGCAGACTGGGTTCTGTAGTCTTGGGTGGCAACCGGTCTCAGGCTATCTTTCCCAAGATAGACCACTTCTACTGCGGCTGCAGTACACATGCTGCCCCTACAATCCTACGGCTCACGGGATAATATATATATATATAGTTAAATTCCCAGATGAATTCTGTGGACAAGACAGATTGGTATCAAATGACAATTGGAAAAAATCATACATCATTAATGTAAATTACCTTTATAGTAAGGGATTATTATCATTTTTATTTTTTTTATTTTTTTTCCAATTGTCATTTGATACCAATCTGTCTTGTCCACAGAATTCATCTGGGAATTTAACTATATTGTCGACATGGAAAAAAAAAATAATAATCCCTACATTAACCAGAAAAAAAGGCTTAGACACAAGCGTCTATCTTTTTAATTTTTAATTTTAATGTAACTATAACAACAAAAACATTTCGATTTCATTTTTGCCTTGAAAAAGTCGGAAGACGAAACGCGTCGGCAAAATGTATGATTTTTTCCAATTGTTATTTGATGCCATACACACACACACACACACACACACACATATATATATATATATAGATAGATAGATAGATAGATAGATAGATAGATAGATAATATTAGTGGTAAATATACACATACATATATGCAAAATATATAAATATATATACATAGATGCATACACATACGTATATATTTTTTGAATAAAAAATTCCAAGAGTATAGAATCCAGGTAGAACTCAATGTCCAGGACAGAGTAAGGATATAATAAAAAGGCTTAAACACTAATATTCCATGGTCATAATTTATTCCATTGGAATCATAAATACGATCCAATTCATCAAACCTACAAATTCAAAAAGAAAACAGAAAAAAACAACTCCGGAAATAAAAATAGAATTTAAAGAGAGTGTAAGTATGAGAGTGTGGGACGAATGTTAGAGCTAAAAAGAGGGGTAACAGGTGAGAGAAGGTGGGAGATTAAAACTTAACAGAGAGAAGTTTTAGAGAGGTGAGTTGAAGAGGTTTAAGTGAGAGAAATATGAATGTTGTCGGATGTCTAATACATTAAAGATGTAACCGGAAAGGATACATTTTGTGGTGACATACACACACAATATAGACGATCTAATCTTAAAGATCAGAAGAAGAGGGAGGGAGAGGAAAAGAAAAGAAAAGGGGTGGGGGAGAGAGATTGGGCGGGGGAAACTAAAACTGAAGGGCATTTACTGAAAGTTTGATTGGCAACCGGTCTCGGGGAAGGAAAAGCTCTGAATTCAAAAGCGGCCTGGAGAGGGTTGGGCTCCGTCAGGTTATCTTGCCCAACAAATACCACTTCTACTTTAATCATCCCAGGTACGCATGGTGTCACAGCATAAAAAAAATATTGTTCCTAACAATTCTTGAACGGCTCGATCCCCTAATTCTCTGTCTTTGAACCTACGTTGTTTTTTATCTTCATCAACGACCATTCCGATGTCATTAGTTTCCCAACAGGGTATTTATGGCTGATAACAAAACTATTTACTCGTGTCCTAATAGTAATTCCGTCAAAGTAAAACTGGCAGCAGCTCTCGAAAATGAACTTTATTCACTCTTTAACTAGTGCAAGATATGACTTCTGTTATGAGAACTTACCTATAACGATAATGGACTCTTCCTGAGACTATAAACACTGCGCCTCTCAAGAGGTGTAATGAATGAACGGTGTAACGAGCACCAGGTCATGACTGTTGAACTCTCTGCTTTGGCTGAGAGGGACCCGGACGAAGCTTTGCCGAAGGGCAGGGTTTCGTCCGGTGAGGTAGACAGGCCCTGAACCAGTCTAGGCGGGTTCAAAGGGTATATTTTTGGCCGAGTCTACGGGCTCGGGAAACCCACGTTAAACTCGGCCTTGTGCCACATGCAACCCTCGTGGTGGGTGGCTATATACCGAATGAATGGTGTAACAAGCACTATTTCATGACTGTTGAACTCTCTGCTTTGGCAAAGAGGAACCCGGACGAAGCTTTGCCGAAGGGCAGGGTTTCGTCCGGGGAGATAGACAGGCTCTGAACCCGTCTAGGCGGGTTCAAAGGGTATATTTTTTGGCCGAGCCTACGGGCTCGGAGAAACCCACTTTAATCTCGGCCTCGTTCCACATATATTCCTCGTCGGTGGGATATTAAATACAATGAATGGTGTAACGAATCGAGACAATATTAGTTCACTCTAAACCAGACGGACAGTCATGACTAACCACTTCAACTTCTTATACTATATTTCTGTTGTAATATATCTTTTTTATTCTACTCTTGTGTTCGTGTTGTTCTTCCTTGGTTCTAACCTTGGACCATAACTGTGGTGCGAGAATATTGGACCATAACAACTTCTAAATCGTGATGCCTGTAAAACAAGGGTTAGGGTTTGCCCTCCATTAGCATGGCCGATGCCAACTCCAAGGAGAGCAACTCGCACACTTTCTTGGTTACACGTTTTCTATTGACATGAAAAGAAGCGATTATATTGAAGCAATTGCTAGATTTGATGCTAAGAATCTTGGTTCACTGTGTCGTCCTCGATAATTTTTCTAGTCAGAATCCATCTTGCACATTCAGAAAACTGCCATTCGTCCGTACATTGAATATTGTTATTATATCTGGTCTGGTGCAAATAACAAATAACTCGCCTACAAAAACGCCTGATAATTATGCACCAACCCAACAGATGTAATCAATGTAGCTGATGAGAAACCCCAAGAGAGTAACACAGTGTACCTTTTTGCTGTCACGTTTTCTACTGACAAGAAGTAGAGCGATTATATTGAATCCATTGCTAGGTTTGACGCTAACAAGCTTGGTACACTGTGTCGTCATAGACAATTTTTCTCCTCAGAATCCATCTTGCACATTTAGAAAACTGCCATTCGTCCGTTCAATGAATACTGCTGTCATATCTGGTCTGTTTCTTCTACTATATATATATATATATATATATATATATATATATATATATATATATATAACTTCGAGATTCTCTCCTTGGTACCTTTTTCGACTGCGGGAATTTAAGTTGAATCCCTTTTGCCCTTTGGTTCATTAGCGTCATGACATTTTTCTCCTCAGAATCCATCAACTTCCATTCGGAGAGCAATTCACTGCACTTTCTTGGTATATATATTTTATATATATTATTTGAAGGGAATCGATTATATTGAATCAATTCCTAGGTCTGCTTCTAGAAGAGAATTGGTTCATTGAAGAGTTGTCGTCATAGACATTTTTTCCTCAGAATCCATTTTGCACATTTAGAAAACCTCCATTCATCTGATCATTGAAAACTGCCATCATATCTGTTCTGTTGCTCCCTATCATATATATATATATATATATATATATATATATATATATATATATATCGAGATTCTTGACAAAATCCAATGTGTCTGTAATGTTATCGATCTTGACCTGGCATCTCGACTTTTGTTACTTTTCCACCACCAAAAGAAAACCGCCAAAAAACACTAATTATTATGTTTAGAAAATCTCAACTCAAAATATGTCCGCAGATGCTGACAATTATTTTAAGACATTTTTACATTATTTTTATAGATACAAATATTTAAGTAATTGCTCTGTTTATAATAAATAGTATTAAACAACATTTACCGGCCTGAATGTCCGAGAAATTTTCAGAGAAAATATTCGTTTTCCGACAGGATTCGAGCCTGTATCCTATACGGAACCGTCATTTAGCTTGACGTGCCTTTACCGGTTTGGCCACGTAGGAGCGATCAGTTGGCAAGATCGAATTTACTGTATTTAAACTTCAATCATCCATGAATCTCTCACGTCCATTCATATCTGCTCATGACGTATCAAATGTAAACAAATGACGTCACACATTATGAAAAGCCCGACAATTATTTTAAGACAGTTTTATGTTTATACATTCTTTTTATAGATACAAATATTTAAGTAAATGCTCTGTTTATAATAAATAGTATTAACAACATTTACCGGCCTGAATGTCCGAGAAATATTGAGGAGAAAGAATAATTCTTTTCTCATCCTCTTCCACTCTTAGTAATCCCTTGCGTCTTAGTGGCATTATTGTCTTTCTTGGGGAGAAATGATTACAATAAAAGAATGAAGGAGAAAATGGAAAATAAAGACTAGGGAGATATCGTTGAATTCTTCTTCCAACTGGAAAGAAGTTACTTGCCTTGAAAATCATGAATTTTATTTCGGTTTGTTTTTTACCATGCGTATTGGTGAATTTGGGAAATGCTCAACTACTTCAGCTACCAATCAAACCCGAGAATCTGTTAGTGTGGCGCTTAACGTCAAAAGACTAATTGTAGACACAGCTAAAATTAAAATCTTGTGATAACAAATATACACCGAAAGATTTGTGGTTTGTCCAAAGAGATGTAACCATGATTTTTGATTGAACAAAAAATAAAAATGGCGCCGTAAACGAAAAACTCAACGTCATCTTTTTTCTCATCAAAATTGTCTTTCTAGCGTTTTTTACTTTTTTATTTTTCTTTATTTTTCCTCTAATTAATTGTTCCATACAACCATTACAAAAATGTCTACGTTTTTCTGTGAATACATCTAATTTACCTGACTTTCTAATACACTAAAATCTAATTACAAGGATAATGGATTTATTATCGATTGATATAATCCGTATTTGATAATGGCTCCAAGGCTGGGAGTAATGAAAATGGTTAAAATATCTGCGAAGATTTCAACTGATCTTGACAAACTCATGATTACTTTGTTGGAAAGTTGGTTATTAGAGGATCCATTTATAAATATTCCTTTGGTTTTCACAACTGTGGGAGAAGAATAAATAGAGATCAAAGAAAGAAAAAGAAAATATGGACAGCGAAGGAAAACAACGAAAAAAAACAAAGAAAGAAATGATATAGTGAACGAAGAAAGAATGAAGCGAAAAATTTGATGTACGAATAAAGAAGAAAAATATGGCGGACGTAGAAAGAAGGAGAAAAATATGGAGAATAAATGAAGAAAAAAAAAAGAAAAGAAAAAGAAAGAGAAATACGATGAACCAAGAAATAATGAAAAAAAAAACATGTTGTACAAAGAATAAATAAGAAAAATATGGCGGACGTAGAAAGATGGAGAAAAATATGGAGTATGAATGAAGAAAAAGAAGAAAAGAAAAAGATGGGGAAAATATGCTTACCTAAAAAACAATGAAGAAAATGCTGTACAAAGTAAAAAGAAGAAAAATATGGCGGACTTAGAAAGAAGCAGAAAAATATGGAGAATGAATGAAGAAAAAGAAGAAAAGAAAAGAGGAAAATATGCTGAACTAAGAAATAATGAGAAAAATCATGCTGTAAAGAAAAATATGGATGAGGAAAAATAAAAGAAAAGCAAAAAGAAAGAAGAACTCAACGAACTAAAGAAAGAAAACCATTTTGAGGAAAGAGAATGAAACGAATGAAGCCACAAAAAAATCAATAAAAGATAGAATTTGAACAAATGAGAAAGAATATTACAGAAGAAAGAAAGAAAGAAAGAAAGAAATAGAAAGAAAGAAAGAAAGAAAAAAGAAAGAAAGAAAGAAAGAAAGAAAGAAATAAAAAGGAAGGAAGGAACCTACAAGTAAAAAGCAAACCAAAAGGAAGGAAATGTAAACGAAAGAAAGAGAAAAGAAAGCAAAGGAATAAAAGAAGACAAATTGAGCTAAAGAAAGAAGAAATGAACGAAGGAGAGAAAAATTAAACTAACGAAGAAAAGAATAATTCAATGAAAGAAACTGAACAAGCAAATTTTACAGAAGAAAGAATAGTGGGGAAGAAAACTCTCATTCCAAGAAAGAAACAAAGAGTGGGAAAGATTTACCATACTAAGAAAGAGAGATTAACAAACACAACGAAAAGAAATGGAAACAACTATTCCAAAAATGACAGCTAATTCCAAACCAAAGTCGAAAAGAGTTGGAACGAAAAATCAGGAAAACCGGAAACGAATTAAAGAATTAATTTCTCACAAATTTTCCGTTTCTATTTCATCCTCTATAGTTCTATCACTTTCAGGGTCTATCACTTTCTTCACACTCACCCCCTTAACACCCTATTCCTCAACCCCCGTTTGACCTTTCCTCTCTCCAACGCTACATGATCAAGGCCCATTCGCCTTCTTCTCTCCTATAGCGTTTTCTAACAAAAATTGATCAGCTCTCCGTTCCTAGGTACTGAACTATTATGTCATCTAGCCTCAAGTATGAATGTGAATGCGTGACAATTTCTTTACATATGAAAAGAGTCGAAGCATCAGAATATTGAATTACAAGCACAAAGTTATTGTTACTGCAATAAGATCTGCATACCATTGGGTTTGTGATTTTTGAAAACACGCGCGAACGCGCTCAGTGATTATCTTAAAAATATATTGAATTTACCGTTGTAGCTAGGTATTTTTTTTCAATACAAACGTTTCAGTAAGTTAAAATAAGCTTGTCTTCGTAATTTAATGCTGAAGATCATCTTGAAAAGGTATCAAAAGTAATTGGTTTAAAAAATATGGCCTCTTCCTTGATGAATGTCATCTTAACATTTTAAACAAATGGAAATGATCAGTATAAAAATAAGTAGACACCATATGTCTATATTATTCAATGAAACATGTTTGAATGAAGATATGTTGCACATATATATATATATATATATACATATATATATATATATATATATATATATATATATATATATATATATATATATATATATATAATATATGCAATATATATATATATATATATATATATATATGCAACATATATATATATATATATATATATATGCATATATTAAAACTATATTTTATCCTTTTATTTTACATATATATATATATATATATATATATATATATATATATATATATATATATTAGCAATATATATAATATCTAATACAGGAGTCTGTATTATTAATATAAACAGTATATTTAGTTCACGTAATAACCTTCAATTAAAAGAATTCATGGTAATGAAAAACAGGAAAATAAACCCCTTGTAATTGTAAAACCGGAGCTGTCTGCCCAGTTGGGGGGTATTTGTACCTCTGAAAATGTAGTATATGAAGCTACTATTTTATCAACCAGAAAATAGTATACATAGGAATATCAGTTCTCGTATGGATTATTTATAACAAATTTAGTAAATGAGATAAGAAAATTGAACATAGAATAGGCTGCGGAAGGGGTTGATTTATCTAACTCTGACAGATGTTCGAAAACCAAAGCAATAACGTAAGAACTTAAATCATGTTCTTAAATAGCCGTGTCAGAGTTCAAAATCGTCTAATGGTTTTGTCAGGTAATAATTATTTTTCATTGTACAGCATCTTTCCCGCAGATTCCTGTCGATACTCTTCGTTACTTCCGTAGCAAATGTTCAAATTAGCTCCATTCTTTAGTTCTACCAGTTCTGACTTTAGATCGAATCACACTCATCATGGTGAGACTATGATTGCCTACACACCGATATGATTCTTAATTTAAAAAAAACCAAAAAAACAATGAAAATGCAAGTTCGGATAATTAATCAAATTATAACAGTGTTTTACTCCAATCGCATCTTTACCATCCTGTCACTGCTCTACCGATACTTCCATAGGACAGGTTCAGATGAACTCCGTGCTTAATTCAAGCATTTCAGACATTTAAAGCTAGGAGATACCATGCCATTTCCACAGAGCCGAATCAGCAGATTTTCTTCAGTATTCCTGCTGTAAGAAAGAATTTTCATTCAGGTTTTTTTCCCCAAGAACCGCAACATTGTGGAACAAAATCCCGCGTGAATGCTTCCCTGAAGACTACAATCTTAACTTATCAGTGTCGAGAGTCAATCGTTATCTCTCTTCCTTACCCTAATAATCTTCACTTCCTACCACATCCATTTACATTTATATAACACATCTGAAGTAACTCACCACCATGAGTAGGGAAAAAAAGAAGATAGAACATGACTGAATAGGTCTAGACATTTCTATGACCTCAACGTACAGTGGCCATCATTACTTTTAGATATTGCCCTATCATGACTTTTGGCACGTCATGGTATGCGTTCGTTTCTGAGGATAGGTTGGTAGACTTTCGGAGAGAAATGGAGATGGAGATAGTATAGAAGAGAATTACAAAATTAGAAAGCAGAAAATATGTCTGAGGAAGACACCCAGTGAGGATCAGACTCACTATTCAGTCATAACCTGATTTACCTAACCATTACATTACTTCAAAGATCTCATATATAGCGCTCATATATATATATATATATATATATATATATATATTGATTTTCCAAGTGCTGCTTAGATATGAAACAAGGCCGAAAGTATGCAGCCACCAGTGAGGATCGAACTCACTAGTCAGTCGTAAATGATTTAGTGAGACAAGCTTGCTAACCATTACAACACGTCCAAATACCCAAATGATTTTCTAAGCGGAGCTTACATGTGACACAAGGTGGAAAATATGGAGCACCCATTGAGAAACAAAGTCGCTACTCAGTCATAATTGATTTAGTGAGACAAGCTTGCTAAACATGACACCACCTAGATGTGTCCCGGGGGCAAGTTTATTATGATTCTTTTGCACAAAATGACTTCGATCCCAAAACAATGGCGTGATTGATGTACCAAAGACGGACGTAAATAATTGAGTTAAAATAATTTACATAAATGGACAGAAAGAGAAAAGCTAAAAATAAGACTGAATTTTGATTTCCTACTTTGAGGCCAGATGCGATTTCAAAGTCTTTGTAGTGATTTCTATCTATAATAACGTTTGAAGTAATAAAAATGTCGGATTAAAAAGAAATCCATTAATTCTTTAGAAATTTCTCTGTTTCGATTTTGGATACAAAACTGAGCAGATATGAATCATTCGAGAAAACAATCTTTAAATATTGCTTGCTTTACGTTTCGGATTCGAAACTAGGCATATAGGAATCTTTCAAGAAAATAATCTTTAAATATTGCTTGGTTTACGTTTCGGATTCGAAACTAGGCATATAGGAATCTTTCAAGAAAATAATTTTTAAATATTGCTTGGTTTACGTTTCGAATTCGAAATTAGGCAGATATGAAGCTTTCAAGAAAACAATCTTTAAATATTGCTTGATTTACGTTTCGGATTCGAAACTAGGCAGATATGAAGCTTTCAAGAAAATAAGGTGAGGATATGCTTCCTTAAAAAGGGTAAAATTTCACCGTGCTTGCTGCGTCTATTCACCGTTTGCCACTCCGATTAAGGGGGGCACAAGTTCGATCCTTTTCAGAGAACGTCTATTCCTATAAGATTTCTGAAATGCACAGACAGAATGACATCTGTCATCTGTTTTAAATACAGTGTAATCACTCTATTACTGTTTGATTTATTATTTACGATTTATCAACCCTTTGCATATTATTATATTTTTAAATTGTAAGAATTTTGTCTTGTTTTCTTTTTAGTTTTGTCTTTTGGAGATAACAAAGTTTTAGTGATGCAAGTCATAATAATTAACCTATTGCTGGGGGAAGAAGAGGTGGACTTAAACCTTTCCCAAGGTTATTTGCGCGTAATATAACGAAGCCAGCAGGATTTAAAACTTGGCACTGCGATTAACAATGCCGAACCAGTATCCATTACATTTCCAACACACATTCAAGCTTACAGCACCTGGTATTCTCAGTCACCTGGTCACTCATCTATGCACAGCCCAGTCACGACGTTGCTTAACTCCGGTGATCGTCCGGATATATATATATATATATATATATATATATATATATATATATATTAACGAAGTGAGGGGGAGAGAGAAGATATGATTGAGTTAGCAGATATTGACACATTTAAACATATATATGTTTAAATTTTAATATATATATAGTTTAAACAAATATATATATATATATATATATATATATATATATATATATGTTTATGTTTAAATGTGTCAATATCTGCTAACTCACTCATGTCTTCTCTCCCCTCACTTCATCACTTCGTTAATTTACATATGTTTAATACGACCCATCAAAAATGTGTAAATTTTCTTTTCATTTTTTTGTTTGGAAGTAAAGTCTGATGATCCGCAGTCCTTTTAAAAGGGTTGTGGTGAAATAATTTATTACATGGAACCTTAAAGTGGTCTGTTTTTATTTAAATTATTTGCTCTGGATTTACATTGAGCTCTCTGGATTTTATCCTCCTTGGGTCTACCCATACGGATTACCTAGTTTTTCATAAACTATATATATATATATATATATATATATATATATATATATATATATATATATATATATATATATATATATATATGTGTGTGTGTGTGTGTGTGTGTGTGAAAAAACCAATAACATTTATGCTCGTCTCTGCTTATTCCTTTTCTCTACCCACTCCCCGGTGCCGATGGTAGAGAATGCTATGAAGGCCCAACCTACTCTGAAAAGCCGTGAGCAGGAGTCATGGTGCAGTCTAGCTGTTGGGTGAGGCTGGTCGCAGATCATCATAATGTTGATGGTTGGAGTATATCTGTAAAAAAGACAAAATGAATAAAAAGAGACGAGAGGAAAAAAACTATATTAGCTTTGGCTTAGTATAGTTATCTGCAGAGCATAAATATTATAGATTTACTAATTTAAAAATATGTTTCCATCGCTACACAGGATTTAGCAGGTTTTAAAAACAGAAACTAAAAACTACAAATTTAATTATAGAATTAAATTAAAATCCCTAGTACTCTTTCATCTACAAGCGAATTTTTTAATTCCAAAATGAAACAGTATTAGGGATTTTAATTAAATTAAATTTGAATTTT